GTATCATTCTCAGGATATATTCTCAAGAATGCTATGTGGGATAATCAGGAAAGAAAGGAAAAAAAAAAAAAACCCACATACAGATATCCAGCCACAGAGTTAAGAAAGACTCTGGTTCAGACCTGGCTTTGCCACCAACTCAGGGACACTGGGCAAGCTGCTGTCCTGAACTGTAACAATGGTGGATTCCCAGTACCAGCTAGATAGCAGGCCCTCAATAAATATTTGTTAAATGAATGAATGCCTACCTCACAGGACTATTGAAAAAGTAAAATGACTAGCATAAGAGCCTGCACACACATTAACACACTAGTCTCCTCCTCGTCTATTTCTCACAGGGTTCATGATCTCTGCTGGTTACAAAGCTAGAAACAAACAGATGGCTAAAAAAAATACTCATGAGTACAATGAGATAAAAATAGCTCTTAAGAAAAAACTTCAGTGTGCTCATTTATTCTGCCATTACATGTTATAGCTTTTGCTTTTCAGCTTATTTAAGATCCTTATTACCTAAACTATCAAATGATATCAATGCAAGATAACCGTAATTTTCAAAGCAACTAATAATCTAAGGGCAACAAGCAGCCTAGTGTTTGGGCAGCTGGGGAAAGCCAACGCGGGAAGATGACAGTCTAGGCAGAACCTATCAAGTCAAGGAAACAAGTGAAGCACACCTAAATCTCTGAGCTCATTTGGTTTGGAGGAGACAAGTACCATCTTGAAATACTTCAGTACTTCATTCCTTTTTTGGGCAGGACCAGTATGAAGCCTAATTAACTACAAAGATTAAGGAAGGTGACATGCGGTCAATTTTACACTTTAATAGAATTTAGCAAGAAATCTTTTCTGTTAAAAATAATTTTACAACATTGTACTCTGTTTAAGGGTCTCAATGCCCATTTAGAGTGTGGAACACACAGATATACTGACCTCACAGCAGATTCTGGATTCCGCTTACAGTAAAACCATATCTAATAATCTGCCACCAATGCATTCTCTATTTTTTCCTTCTTTTTGAAAATTCGACTACAGACCAAAATTTCTAACACACCAATTAAAAGATTAGGGCATTTAGGGTACAGTAATTAAAATGAGTACAAAGATTAAAAAAAAGACACTCCAAATTGAAAAATATGAATTCCTGACTTAGGTTTTTGAAATTAACACATACAGATGAAATTAATAGACAGCAATTTCCAAGCACTATACTCTTATTTTCAACTGTCCAAGCACCCTTTAGATACTTTAGTCCAAGTGGAAAAGAAAATAAACCTCCACTTGCATTCACATTGATTTCTTCAAATTAAGAGTCAAGTGTATCAGCTTCATTTCACATAAGTATATGGTGGAGGAAAATAGCTGATTAGTACCTGCAATATCATGACCTCTCTCTTCCCCTTAACTGCCAACAAGTCCTGGAGTTAACCTTATCTTAACATCTTATACAATGCTAGTGTATCACTATTTCACAACAGCTATTGTTCAATTTTTCAGGAAACATGTAACTTCAGCAATGAAGTAATTATCAAGACAGTTTGAAGATACAAACAATAGTATAGGAACTTAGACTCTTCACTATGGAAAATCAGATGCCAGCCATGAATTAGGTATGTAGTCACTAGTTCTAAATCCTAACACTCTAGATATTTGGGAAGAAAGAGAAGTCACGGTACCTAGCATGGTCTGCCATATTAGGATCATTTTCTTGGCCAGAAACATGGGGAGTTGGGGTGGGGGGCGGTGTGGGAGATGTGATTAGAGGTCTGGTGATTAGAAGAATGACAGCCACATTCTTTCACACCAGAAGGGCTGTGAAAGCAGCTGCAAATGCTCAGCCATCAGCGGCCTGTGTGCCTTGTCAGTGGACAGCAGGCTCCACTAGTTTCTATTGAACATAAGGCAAGAGATTAAGCAGGACTTGTAAGATACTCAGACTGAGATACAGTCATCTGCAAAACTGGTCTTCCATAATCCAAAAATGCTGGGACAAAACTGAGTGGAGTTGGGGGTAGGGGAAGGGAGAGCCTGTGGTTATTAGAAAAATGTAGGTAACAGTGGAAGAAATGTCTGAAAATGTTCGACTTGATGCCTATGGCATGACACCTAAACAAAATTTTTAAAATATAATTCTTAATTTTATTAAGATATGAAAACTTAAGGCAAAGCAAGGTTACTGCCATTAGACCATTCATAAAGAAATATTTTATTAATATCAGGCATAAATCCAATAAGTCTTTCTGTCACATGAGTTCACACACTGATTCAAGTGGACAGTAGGCCTCTCCAGGGAGGAGGAGGAGCAGGCTCCCAAGGTGTGGAGTGAGCTTTCTTTGCTGAGTCAAGCTGAGTAACACATACTTCAAGTGAAAACAATCTTTCATTTGAGAGCTGCTAGTTTATTCTTCTGTTGAATTTAAACATATTGAGAACTAACTATAAGTTCTCGGCTACATACTTGACAACTTTTTAACTCTTTCAATTAAGCATTTCTAGTAACAGAAAATTCAATCCTTTGTCACCAATGAGGCAGTAAATGCACCCAGAGGATGGCCAGCTCCTGGAACTTGCTGCTGAATAATGAAATGTGCTAGCAGGCACAGAGGGAATCTCCCTATGGTTTCAAATTCTGGCTGAAAATGCAGAAAGTGCTTTCTAGCAGAGCACTTTACATACATTCAGGCTTCTTAACAACAAATTCATCAACTCCTCTAGTGCCTCTAGATTCTAGAACATGGTAGATGGTTCAGGTTAGTTTCTCTCAGTTAACTAATTTGTTTCATATTCTAAAATTGTGACCTATATAGTTTACTATGGCACACCACTGTTTGGGATTCAAACTCTTATCTCTCAACAGCATCTAATATTCTTCTAGGTTACAAACCAGATTCTTTGCATGATTAAAATCATGCAGATTTTAGGCAATTGGCAGGCCATAAAATCTACTTTAGAATGTGATTCACTTATTGATGTTGAGAATAGTTACACTGAAATTGTGGCAGGATTATATTGAACTTCCTTCAAATTACAATAGAGGAGGTAAAGAAAGCTACGCTGTGATGGCAAGGTTAAGACAAACAGTAGATTTCTGCCAAAAATACTGTCATCTTCCTTTTACACAAAAGTAACTCTTTCAGTACAAGCAGTAGAAATAAGGAATACATGTTTTGAACTTTAATGACAATACACCTTTCATTCCTAATATGACAGGAAAAATAGCAGGAGCTAAAAACATGTCAGTAAAGTGGGGAAGTTTCATTTGGCCTTGATCACAGTGTTCATTGAACACATTATTACTTTCTTACTGTAAGGCTGCTTAAAACAAGATTGTGCTTCTAGTCACATGCTGCCATCCACTATGGTTCAGATATTTCTGCTCTGTTTGAGAGCACATTGTGCCTCAGCAGTTTCTCATCCTCAGCACTACTGACACATGGGCTGGATATTTCTTTGTTGCGGGGGGCTCTCCTGTGCACTGCAGGACGTTCCGCAGCATCCCTGGCTTCTACCCACCAAATGCCATTTGCACCCTCCCCCCTCAGTTGTGACAACGAAAAATGTCTCCAGACGTTGCCAAATGTCCCTTGGAGGTTAAAATCATCCTTGTTTGAGCAAACTACTAGCTTAGACTGTAAATTAGCTAAACAGTGAAATAAAATGAAGACTTGAACTTCCTTATTCTCGTCAATGATATTTCACACAGCTGCAATCCCCAAAACCTCAGCTACATGACTAGACACAATTCAGTTTCTGTGAACAGTAACAACAAAAACCCAATCTCAGTTTTTTGTAAAATTTTAAATGTTTTAACTTCAGTAATCTAATAAACTTTTAGATTTAATGATTAAAAAGTTTAAATTTAAGATGTTGATTTTTAATTTTATAACTAATCAAAATGAATCTTCATATGTGCACCAGGGTTGAATTTTATGTCAAACGAGAAAGACTATTTCTGCTAGTTCCAAAAGATCTACTCACTGCAAATCTCAGATCTGCTCTTGGAGAGGGAAAAGGAGGAAAGAAGCACCTGGTGCGAGTGTCTGCGCCAGAGCTCTGGCCTCTGGCTCATCCCCTTGTTCCCTCCTGGGCTGTGTTACAATGTCGAGTATCTGATAATGAGCCACTGCGGGGAGGGCTTCTTAGAGCATGTCCTTCTTCCTCTCTAAACTGGGTCTTTTATTCAAAAGAACTATCAACAATAATTTTAAAAGAACTGCTTTTACATATTAACTACTGGTTTTGTCTTATGTTTTATTTTTTAAAAATGGCTTATTATTTATCATTTCAGAGACCAGCCTGCAATGAAAGCATACCTACTAATTCATTTGATTAAAATTCTTCAAAGGATGTGAGATTCTATATCACAGGTAGTCAGAATCTTTATAAATATATATAGCTACAGATACACTTATGCATGATAGAAAATAGATTCTAACTTTGTCAATGTTCTACTCTTTGGCCTTGCAGATATCACTCTATCTGACACACAATATTATAGAAAATGAGAGTTTGAAAGCAAAGATTATTCACATAAACTTTCTAGCTTCTTTTTTAAGGCCTCCCAAGAGAATAAGATCCAAACTATCAGGTTTATTCCTCAAGTTTCCATGGAAACAGTGCTGGATCCTCCTGTTAGCAATGGCTGTCAAACCCTCTTAAGCTTAAGATTAATCAGGTTTAAACATGTTAAAGTTTTTTATTCAGTGTTTTGTATTTTTTAATAATCATGGTACATTTATCACTATCTAATCTACAAACAGGGAGGCCATTTAAAGAGAAGCCTGTAAAATTGCCTATCTTAATCTTACGCATCTATAGAAAAAAGGCATGTACACACACAAACACACAACGGTATTTCCCAAAAGAGTGCAACTTAAAATGCTTGCTACATCTCATGTATCTTCCAGGCATAAGAAACCTCAGCAATTATATCCCTGAGAAGAACAAAATAGCCCCTGTAAGTTACTAATAGCTTACCAGATGTGAAGATGGCAGATACATACCATCAAAACTACCTTGCTCGGAAGCAAGGTGCAATAGCTGATTATATGTTTCAACTGAAGGCTGATAAACAAAGACTCCGGAATTGAAGCAGTCAGGCCACCCTGGGTCTGGTGCTGCTGACAATTCTTCTCTTTCAAAAAGATCATCGATATTTGCTAGGACCTGATTCAAAGGGGGAGAAAAAGCATTACAGGAATGTTCTGCTGCAACAGACCCTTCTTAAGTTCTCCCGATGTCATCTAACACAAAAGATGATGACAGCTGTAAGACAGCCTGGCCCTACCTCCTTCATCACCTGACACTTTTTATGACAGTGGTTTTATCTGAACTTCACTGGCAAGCCTTGACAGCATTCCTAAAATACCTAACAGGTCTCCATTACTACACACATCTTTTCTGCCTTCAAAGCCACACTCACCAGAGTATCTGCATCCATGAACACACATTTTGAATATTGTGTAAGTGACCAGCAGTGGAGCTTCGTCAGCGTGACGCCCAACTCAGGCCTCTTCATTAAGGTTAGATGAGCAGAATCACCACTGTCCAAGACATCCACCATTATGACTTCATCAAAGACTGTCTCTAAAACTTTTCTGTCAAAATAAAATCCAGACAACAGCACTTAGAACTTTCAGAACAAGTGACCTATCTAATATAAGACTGCTGCCTTATTATCCTCTTGATCGATTACCAGAACAGTCTGTTGGTTTGGTATAGTATATCCCCTTAAATCTGTCCCGGTTTTACTTCAGGACAAATTGTATTTATTTGCATGTGCAGTTAACTTCATTAAAGTATTAAGAACTGCTTATGGAGAGAATGAAATTCTTGTCTGAAAACCTTATAATAGAAGAAGTTATCTATTTTTTTTTTAATTGTATCACTGAATATCTGGCAGGTTATAGAAATAGTATATAAAAATGGGACCTTTGGTAAAAGTACATCTTTGCAACAGCCTATGTATTTGACAATGATGTTTTATTAGAATTTATTCTGTTGCATATTTTTATAAATTATGCTGAGTAATGTGCATATAATATCTACAATGAACTTTATAACTAATCACTTTTGCTAAAGCAATTGACTAAGAATTGCCTGAAGTTCTGTGTCCCAAAAGAAGTTAAAGGGCTCAGTTATTAGGTCGCCATTTTTTAGAATCCAATATAACTAGCATTTATTAAGTGCTTAGCACTCTATTTGGGCATAATGAGAGACTCACTTTGGCTTGTGAGATACACTTCTCCATGCCTCAAATTAACTAAAACTTTATTTTAGAAAGCTCTTGAGGTGAGTTAGTAGGGTAGACTTGGTGAGACACTAAACTCAGCACAAGGGAAAACATAGGATAAAAACATCATCATTGAAAGTTTATAACAATGTCAGACATGCAGAACAAAACTGGTATTGTATTCTGTCTCCAAAGTTGTACAAAAATATGTTCTAGTTCACACGGTAAATTTGATCTTTTTAGAAAAGAAATGGTTAGGGACATCATTGACCAAAGTAAATTGGTGGCGGTGGTGGTGGTGGTGGTGGTAGGGAATCCAAGACTAGGTCTGGTTTCTTACACATACCCTCACTGACAGACTTCGAATCAGGACATACATATAAGGAGACAGCCTTTTTGGCATCTTCTTAAATTATCATTTAGGAACAAGGTTATTAGTGAAAGACACACATGTATGTATATATATAATGCTTACTTTTCAGAGACATTTGGCCTGTGCCTACATTTTTTTTTAAATCACAAGAAGGGCATTTTCAATTTCTAAGAGGGCAAAGAGACCAAACAAACAAAAAACCCAACATCATAAAGCTGCTTGTATGCCCAGATATTTTTAAAGTTAGTATTAAGAACTAGGTAGTTCATTCAGATATTTCAAAATTTAAGTCCAACAAATCAAAGGGAACAAGCAATCAACAAGCTGCTTGTGCTCCTTAGTGTGCTTTCCCCTAGCAAAACCTCCAGTTCAGAAAGCCCTTTGGTAAAGATTCTAGTACACTGTATTATAAATAAAATCTTTAGGTTACAAAGGGGTCAACTAGCAATGGAGAAAATGGCTACTTTTCTTTCAAAGTCCTGGTCTGAAACAGGAAACAATGTAGCCCCTGCAGCATTTTGCGAAAGGAGTACAAGTGAATTGTGACTACATAAAGGTATAGTTAAGCAGGGAAAGCCTGCACTGAAACACTCACTCAGATCGCCCAGAAAGGACTGGGTGAAGGGAGAGTCCTCCTTCTTCCACTCCTTGTCAGAATCAGGAAGCGTGTAGGCCAGAACACCACCTCCCAGAAGGAAGCCTAATTCGAATATCTCCCAAAAGCTAGGAAGAGGTTTCAGACCCAGGAATCCTTCACTCAGCAACTCTCATTTTTCTCTACTCAGTGCTCAACTCCTGAAAAGGGTATGGCCTCAATGCCCACTGATGCCAGAAACAGGGGAGAAGGACTTCAGAGCCTTGCAGACGTTTGGGCGGCAGCGAGGGCCTCACCTCATGGAGTCTGAGACCTGCGGGGTGGTGAGCACGGCCAGCCTCCTGGTGGTCCTGTGCTGTTTCAGAGATGAGCCCAGGACCAGGGCACCTTTGGCGTAGGCATCGTTTGTGGTCAGTGTCACAAAGGCCTGATCTTAATACAAAGAAAAACAAAAACACCACACTCATTACATCATCTTACCTGGAAAAAGCCTTTTCCCCAGGACCCTTTTCAAACAGTAGTTTGGCAAAATCAGCTCGTCTGAGATCAACTTGCTCTATTAATAAAGCAGCAGCCTCCTTGGAGGGAAAACTCAAATACCTGCTTCAAGAAAGGTTCAAGACCATAGCAGGAAATGTCTGGCAACCTCAAGAGGCTGACTGAGCTATAAAAATTATTTAATGTTTGGACATGCTAAATTTTCAAAGTAAACAATAGCTTAACGCCCACAGGGTGAACTTGGGGCAATTAACTGGTAGTAATGAAGAGATCAAGAAGTGCATTTCCTGTTTCTTCTACAAGGTACTGCAGACAGTATTTTTAGCCAAGCACAAATCCAACTGTCAATCTCAAATAAGACAGTCTGAGAGCAGAGTCCGTATTCTTCATTCTTGTGCTTATGTTTATGCCATGTCTCATGCTTTTTGAACTTACTGTTTCCTCAACCTGGAGCAAAAGCTCCCTTGCCCCAACACTCCTGAAAAGTCACTTTGAGTCTGCTCACAATATCAAATTCCCAGAGAGGACTTCCCTCCTTGACACTTCTTTCTAAATAGTGCCCAATCACTGTTAAATGGATTTAGAGACCACGTGAGAAGCTCTTACAAACCTGTGCCTCCTCTTTTTTGAAGAGGCCAGCATTACCCCCTACCCTGTCCTCTGGATGCCCTTCCCAAACAGAGGTAGAGACACACACACCCCAATCTCCAATTATCACTTAGTCGGCAGAAGAAAAGGCAAGCATGGATTATTCTTCCTACTGAACAATCCCCACCCCCTCCCAAGGCCACCAGCCAAGACTTTAAGATTTCTCGTCCTTCCCATCAATGATTCTGGGGTACACTCCATCTCCAAGAAGATTTGACGTTAGCAAGTTGGTAGGCATCCAAATGTATAGGGCACTTAGGATCAAGCTCTGGCAGGGGTCATTTGGGGCACAGTTGCCCAACCAGGGAGTTAGGACACTTTGTCATGAAGTCATTCTCTTTCTGTCTTGGGTATCCTCATTCTCCCTTGCCCATTTTCCAATGTGGAGGTAGTGGAAATTCTACTGAGAAGTGAGAGGAAGTTGTGGGTTGTCGAGCAGGCCAGCACATCCCTCAGCTGTGGACCCGAGAGCCATCTTCACACATTTTGTTGGGCTCTCTTCCAGGGCAGGTGAACTACTGAATTATAGAAGGACAATTCTCCACCCTCGGAGGCCCACGGGTTTCCCAGTCAGTGACACTCTAAGAAAGCTCTGAACAGTGACACCTGTCCCTTGGCAAGCTCATCAACCTCTACCTCTACTTGTTGCTATTTTCTTCAACCTATCATAAGATGGTAACATTGCAAAGTTAATCAGCACCAAAGGTACTTAACCCGGGCAAAATGATGTTTTAACTCAAAAGCAGTCCAGAATCTGGGAGGTAATGGAGAAAAGTTTAATAAGGTGGGTAGGATTCAAGGATTTCAGGAAGCATGGGTATGGATAATTTCCAAGATTAAATAAGGGTCAGAACAAATGCTTAGGACACAGGTTAGAATACCAGATCTAGCAAACATTACGAGTGATCAAGACAGACCAATGACAGCTGGGTAGGAGTCTAATTTTTCTAAAGACCGCTGAACTCTGGGTTACACCTGCCATCTTTCTGGCAGTTCAATTGCTGTAATAACCCCAGCTATCAGCCTCAACGACGCGGAAGGATCAGTTACCTCGGAGCTTCCCAGTCCTCCTGGCAGATTCGCGGAGCGGCCCGAACGCCCAGAGGCCTTGCAACAAGTGGGGCTGAGGCCGGCGCCCTCCCGGGGCCCCTACCCGAGGACTCTAGCCGCGGCTCCCAGTTTCCGCAACCCGGCCCCAAAGGCCTAAAAATAGGCTGAGCGTGGCGGCCAGGGCCCGGGCGGGCGGTGGAGGAGCCGGGCCAGGGCCGCCGGTATCCCCGCCTCGGGGCCGCCCCTTCCCGGAGTGCCCGCCCGCGGGAGGCCCGGGCGGCTCCCGGCGATCCCGCTGCGCCCGGGGACTCTCGCCCACTGCGCCCGGGGAACCCGGCTCCCCACCCCCACTCAGCCCCGCCGCAGCTGCTCCGCCCGTCCGCCCTTCACGGTGAGAGCAGCAGGGAGGGCGAGGAGACGGAAGCAGGAACGGGAGCCTCGGCGCAGGGCCCAGGCTCTGCCTGGCTGGCCCTCATTCTGGGCCCCCGGGGGCGGCGGGGCAGCAGCTGACGCAGAGAGCAGCACGCTCGGCTGCGGCCAGCCGGCAACTTTGCTGAGGTCCTCGTCCTGCCAGGAACTCCCCCCGGCCGAGGGGAGGCGGCTGGCTGCGAGGGGCGCGCGGGGAGAGGAGCCGGGGGTCCCGGGGACGGCGGGGTGGGCCCGCAGGGCGGTGGGCTGCGCGGGGCGTACCTGTCATGGTGCCGCGGGGGCGCAAGCGGCCGTGACAGCCGCAAGTTGGTGGCTCGGAGGAGCTGGGCGCCGGGAGGAGGCGCGGCAGGAGCTGGGCGAGCGGCCGGAGCGCTCTTATAGCGGCCGTCACGTGGCAGCGCACGCTCCCGTCTGCCGTCCGCATCCTCCCTGCAGCGCGGCCGGCGGGGCTGCTGGACCCGAGGACCCTCCTTCCTCTGGGCTGTGGCTCGAGCTCCCAGCGCCCTTGGTCTTGGTCCCGCGGGACACCTGCCTTCACTGTCCCCCTCTGAGCCTGGGAGTTGAAGGGGGACTTGGGGCAGAGTGTGGCATCAAACTCCCAAAGAAGCCAAGGGCTAGGGAACTTTAAAAAACAAACGAACAAACCTCAGATCACTATAGTTATAATATTTCTTCTGAACTGCTTGAATGAAACATAAAGTTTAATTCCACCTTTTTCACCTAGATTTTTGTATCAGCCTCTGGAATCACTCCTTAGTGTACTTGTAAGAACCGGTCCCCCTCGGCCCCAGGAACAGAGAAGCAGAGTCACCGAGGATGCAAATGGCAAAGGAGTTTATTTGCTAGCTCGAGCTAGGGTCCAAGTCCCAGAGCACCAACGCAGTGGCCTCTCTAGGAACCAGGACCCCGCCCCGGGGTAAAAGTGAAGCTTTTATACTTTTGGTTGCGCATGACACACCGGTGGCATATGATACGCTGAGCCCACCATCCCCTTTCCCCCTTTGTCCATTGGTTCCTTTAAAAGTGGAGGATTGTTTAGACCCGTGATTGGGTGGTCCCAAGCCTCAGGATTTTCAATTTTCATGCCCGCGCCAGTTCTGATCTGTGTTTGGGGAGGGGGACTGAGACTTAGGCCTACTCTAGGAAGTTCAGCCTGTCATGGAGTTACTCCTGCCCTGTTTTTTTGATTAACTATATTTGACTAACAACTAAAAGCAAGCACAGTTACAGAAGCAAATGGCATTAGTTAAAATCAAAGAGAACACATTTTTCTAATATAAAACAGTTTCTGTTCCACACAAAACAAAGTACATTCTCCTACTATTAATTCATGCGTTTCATACTCACGGTGGTTTTGTGGCCTTGACTTAAAGATAGAATGAATATTCACAAAGTATTTGTAAATTCGTGGAGACACCTGTATCAATTAGATATTTAAGTGCTTCATTTAATCCCTGTACCAACTCATTGACGTAGGTATTATATATTCATTTTACGAATGAAAAACTGAGGCACACAAAAGTTAAATTACTTTTCTATGGTCGTGTTGGTGGAGAAGGTAGGATTTCAACCCTGGTGGTTTGGTTACACAATCAACTTTCCCACCCAAAAAGCCTTGGTGCCTCTGGCACACAGGTGTTCCAAAAGGTTAGTAAATTATGCTAACTGTGGTTAGGTAATATAGTTGTTTTGGTTAATCTGTTTCACAAATCTTGAAATGGTCAATTTGTCATTCTTCTAGGAAGTTGAGAAATAGCTCTCTGAAGTGCTCGCATTTCTCTCTGCTCCCCATCCCCAGCCCAAACACAGCAGAAGCCTCAGGTAGTGCAGTTCTCTCCAAACAATAGTTGCTCAGTAAATGCTGAATGAAGATTACAAAGCTATTTGGAAACCAATCAGGAAGTTGACAACATCGGTTGAAAAATGAAATAGGTGCTTAAGAATAAGTGATTTATTTGCTGTCCTCAACCAATTATATCACCGTTTCCTCATGTGTGGGCCTGGATCTCCTACATCAGAATCACTTGGGGGCACTTGTTAAAATGCGAATTTCTGGTCTTAAACCCAGATCTCCTGAATCAGAATCTTAAGGTTATAGCCCAAGAATCAGCATTTTATGTATCACCTTCCAGGACCCTCTCTTGAATTCTTCCTAGTCTTTCCACCCCCACCATGGCCTGGAGACCACGGATCCATGTGGGAGGACCTCCCAGTTACTTGGCATTATGTGCTTCCTTTGCAGGAAGCAGAAATGTGGGGGTCAAGAGACAATGGATGGCTTTCCGTTTATTCAAACTCTGTAAGCTTACACGAGTTGGAGCTCTTTAAGGAATTGTACCTAAGTGGGGAGAGGGAAAACAGAGCTTCCCAATCTGAATTGCTCTTTTCCAGACAGAGAGTTAGACCTGGAAGAGTGAGGTTTCTGTTTTTCACCCAGGAATCCTCCTGCCATCATTGACCCTTAACCACCTGCTGCTGGCAGCCCAGGTATCTCAGGCTGGACTTCCCCTGGGATGTGGTGCTGGGCTGAAAGGGCAAAACTAGGAGGAAGGACTGGGGATAACTGGAAAAATGGAAAAGCTTCTCTTAGAAAAAAGCTCCTCTCTGTTCCACCTCCCAGGCTGTATAATTTAAAGGGGTCACTACAGCCTTTGTTCCTGGATGTTTTATTCACAGTTTTTACCACTTTAAATCAAGCAGGGACATTTTGAGCTTGCTACAACTGCACTTAGGCATTGTCTTAATCAAGATTTCTAGTGGTGATCCACTGCCTAATTTTCGTGAGGCTGCTCTGCAGTGAGCATCAGTCTGGGGAGAGCAAGGCCTCTCACACTTTAATGTGCGTATGAATTGTCTGAGGATCTTATTAAAATTCAAATTCAAACTCAGTAGTTTGAGTGGGTCTCCCAGGTGATGCCCAGGCTGTGGACCAACTTCGAATAGTGAGGTGTTTGAACATTTTGGAATATAAGGCAGTGAAGGTAGTGGATAAACATGTTATAGTGAGGCAAATGTTTGAGACTTTTTAGCTTGTTAATTTTCGTGTGTATGAAACTTGGACTAGTAAAATTATTGAATCCTAAAAGAAAGATTTAAGTTGAAAATATAAGTTGTACTCTACATAAATATGTATGACTGTTAACCATCTAAACCTATGATAAATTCATATATTCCACATGGTTGGTCCAACATTCATTTTTATTTGGCTTTGGAATGCATTATGTAATTTTTTGGCAGGATACTTACCTTCCTAATTATGTTTTGTTTAAGATAGGGCTGAAATCAGTTTGCATTCCCTTGAGCACACACACTCATTGATAGTGGGGGCAACTGACCTGGAAATGTATTCCAGAGCAGAGGGCAACCTGCTGGCGTGAGACTCAAATAGTTCCCACGGACAGTCTATGAAATAGATAGATATACCATGTCTGGCCTGACAGAGGAACTAACTAGTTAACTAACTACTCAAAATTTTTCCCTTGATTGAAAACACAAAATCTGTACCTGAAATTGTCAGTGATCGCAATCTTGTCTAATTCCAATCAAAAGTTTAGTTTCAAGAAATAATATACTTGCTGGCACAAAGTATTAGGTCGTCAAATATGAAGTGTCCGATTTCTAATCAAACATTTAGTTTATTATATCTCAAACAAGAAGCAGTGCAGTTAATCAAAGTATGTGCCTAAACTGTTGACACAGTTTTGCCATCTTAATGGTAGCTTGTTTATGCCAGCAGTGAAGAAAATTTGAGAGCTAGTGATGATGAAATCGTGAAAGGTGTTTTCCACAGCTTCTTGAGAATTGAATGTTTTTCCTTGCAAGAAGTGGTCCAGGCTGGACGCGGTGGCTCACATCTGTAATCCTAGCACTCCGGGAGGCCGAGGCAGGAGGATAGCTTAAGGTCAGGAGTTCGAGACCAGCCTGAGAAAGAGCAAGACCCCGTCTCTACTAAAAATAGAAAAATTAGCCAGGCGTGGTAGTGTGACATGTAATCCCAGCTACTCAGGAGGCTGAGAGGCAGGAGAATCACTCGAGCCCAGGAGTCTGAGGTTGCTGTGAGTCAGGCTGATGCCACGGCACTCTAGCCCAGGTAACAGAGCAAGACTCTGTCTCAAAAAAAAAAAAAAAAAAAAGAAAAGAAAAAGAAGTGGTCCAAAACCTGGAGGAAGTGGTAGTCAGTTGGTGTAAGTTCTGTTGTATATGGTGGATGACAGAGAGTTTCCAAGTCCAGCTTCTATAGTTTGAGCATCATTGTTTTTGGCTACATGTGGTCTTGCAAGAGGATTGGCCTCTCTCTGTTGACCAGTCTCAGCTGCTTAATCGCAAGCATCCTTGTCATTTTGTCCAGCTGGTTGCAGTACACAACTGCTATAGTGGATTGACCAGGTTTTGTGAAGCCGTAGTGATAATACCAGCGCTGGACCACCAAACAGAAAACTAAGCCCATTAGCTTTTTTTTGATGAATATTGGGTTTTGGACTGTGTTTTGGAACTTCATCTTTATCCACCCATTGTGCTAAACACTTGCAATTGTCAAAAAGAATCCATTTTTCATCACACATAACAAAACAATGTGGAAATGGTTCGCGTTTATGTCGTGACAGCAAAAAAAGGCAAGCTTTGAGACGATTTCTTTTCTAATGCACATTTAATTCAGGCGACGTACCCATCTATCCAGCTTCTTTACCTTGCCAATTTGTTTTAAATGGTACAATATTGTTGGAATAGTAATGTCAAACCTTGCTGCTAATTCATGCATAGGTTGAGATGGATTCGCTTCCACTACAGCTTTCAGCTCATCATTATCCACCTTGGTCTCAGGTCACCCACGTGGTTCATTTTCAAGATTAAAATCACCAGAATGGACCTTGTCAAACCATCGATGTACTGTGCATTCATTAGCCACATCCTTCCCAAACGCTTCCTTGATATTTCGAGCTGTCTACATTACATTGGTTCCACGATGGAACTCATATTCAAAAATAACAAATTTTTTACTTATCCATGGTTTCACAAAAATTGCTCTAAAAAAAATTTGAAAGATAATCACAAGCCAAAACAAGCATTTGAAAGGAGGATGTACCTTCACAACAACAACAAAAAAAAATTGTCAAAGTGAAATGTCAGAGATATCAACGGTCAAATTTAGTACTTAAGGAAATCAGACATTCCATTCATTAATCTAATAGTCCTTCTTCCCTCAAGAGCTGAAATTCCAAACTCAAAAAGTTGCAGTGGCCTGGTGACCAGTTACGTTGCCTTTAGAAAAAAATCCTTATTGAGATAGAATTTACATTCCATAAACTCAGCCATTTAGCTGAATTAAATTTAAAGTATAAAACTAAAAGGTTTTTTTATATATGTATATATTCACAGATTTGTACAACTATTACCATAATCTAAGTTTAGAACATTTTCATCACCCAAAAAGAATTGTGTATATA